CACAGAGCAGATAATCCTGTAGTGAGAAACTGACAATGGAACCACAGGCTTCGACGATGACATCCAACGCCGCGACTCGATGCACGCTCTTATTAACAGTCTACCCGATGCTCACTATGCTACTCTTCGGGCCATCATTCTGGTACGATTCCCACCAAAAACATAGTCTTTATTTTCATCCAGATACTAACCTAGTCCATTGCAGCACCTCAATAAGATCCAAGAACACTATACCCAGAACCGCATGAACGCGGGCAATCTCGCTATTTGCTTCGGGTATGTCCTTATACATTCCACATCCTATACAAACAGGAATGTTATCAGATACAGACTGGCTAATACTCGCTATAGACCAACCCTCATGGGCGCCAATTCCGGTGGCAGCATCGCCGACGCTGGGTGGCAGGTCCGTGTCGTCGAGACGATCCTGAATAACACATTCCAGATCTTCGACGACGATTGATCAATTCGCCCCCGGTCCTTCTTAGTTTCTTTCTTATTTTGTTTATTGGAATATGAGCGTTGGTCCGCGGACCCACGTATAATGATGATCTTGATGCATCGCTTCCCGGTGCTCTTTTGAACCTCTTTTCTTATCCATTCGTACCTACTGTGGCTGTGTGTCCTGGTGTTTCCTCGGAGTGATACCTGTGCTACACATTAATGTTGTGTCCTTTGGGCCTTCCGATTGTACATATACTAGTCCTTTTACTTTTGGCTTTTGTCGGTCACGAACAACGTATAATCGTGTTACCGATGATGTCAGGTTGAGATGCAAATATTGGCCTATTTAGTGTCATATTACTGGAAAGCAGACAAAGATACTACCAGCAATGAAACGCCGGGAAATTGGATAGTTGGAATAGCTGTCTAACCTATTGTCCTTCATGCTCTGCTTTCGCGGACTTCATTTAGGGCATTCAATCTACAAAATAAGCTTAAAACTTGAAACCATATGTCTAAGAAAAGGATAGTAAACTGTGGGAAGAACACTCTGAGACATTGATATTCATTTATACAAGTAACGGCCCAAAAGAAAGGTAGAATTTGATCAAAACAGGTGGCTATGGTACATGAGAGGTGTAAATGCTTCTATATCAGGGGTTGGTTTCCTTTATCAAGGAAAGAGAAACAGACCAGAAAAGAAGCTGACCCGAGCCTCTGTCCAGTGTTAGGCCCAAAAACGAGGAGTTGCTAAACAGAAAGTAAGACAAGCAGGTGAAATAAAAAGGATATTGTATCACAATTTGAGATGACGACTCAAATTTATTTCTGGCCCATCGATTCCTTGATCATGTCCAGACGCTCGAGGGCCGACAATCCAGGCATGAAGTAGGGGTTAGTCCAAGCCTCATGCAATGAGGTGGGACTGATGTGGCCCCAGACTCTCCAGCCCTTATCCTGGTCGTTCCAGCGGAGATGCTGAATGACAATGTGCTCCACACAGTCCTGCTCCTTGGCGGAAACGATGTTATTTTCCGTAGGTTCCTTTGCGCTGGGGCTCGGGACCTGAGTCGTAGTTGTGGACTGTCGGCTAGTGATGCGCACGACAATTTGACGGATACCGGATTTCGGGATGTCGGGGATGGATGTGGCGCGATCTGAGATGACGCGAAGGCCGGTGAAGTTTGTGCTTGGTCTACGCAGGTATTTCACCAGTTTCCAGGTCACTTGCTCGTTCTTCGGGCGGCGTTCGATACTTGTGCTGAGTTGCTTGACGAGATTGTCACAGCAGATCTGGCGGATTTTGGGAATGTTGCCTCTATAACAATCCATAGCGGTTAGTTCCGCTCCAAGGCAAACGAGGAGAAGGCACATGCTTACTCGGCAAATGCTGTATACATATCCTCCTGGAGCTTTGCGGCGAAGTGGCGGCGCTTGCTTAGGAGAAGAGGAAGGGTGTTTTCGCGCTTGCAATATTGGAGCAGACTGTCATATAGTTAGAAAAGATACTATTTGCAGGTATACGGTATATGCAGCTCTTGCTCGAAATAACCGCCACTAGGACGATAGAGCACCGAATATTCCGAGGACTCGAACTAACCTGGCATGGTTGCTCAACCAGGCCTTGAGCCATGTCCATTCCATATGCCATCTATCGCGCGGTGCCGTGAAAACTGAAGGCATATCCCTCCACAAGGGTCGGACAAAGGTACCCGGTAATATGCCGATGTCATTTGGCAGATCGGCCAGCTTCATGCCCTGGGTTCTGGTTTTGAAGGACGGCTGCACTTGGCTTGGAGGGCGGAAATTCATTTGTCTCCCACGCCATTGCTGGGAGGTCTCGGAGAAGGCCCGACATTGGACAAAGGAACCAGATGGTACAATCCGAGCGGATGCGCCCACGGGCATTCGTAGGGTAGACGCCATTGCGAATCGGGGTTGAGTAAGAGAAGTTGGTTCCTGACCGAAGAACAGAAATCCGCGGAACTGTCAGTCACGTGTATCCACTCCGCAGGTCGACAGCAACAACTGGCCGGGAAATTCTTTGTGAACGAAACGCCCTCTTATCGAGGCTACAGCTTATATCTCCCTCATTTGTTTCTTTAATAATCTACTGTCATATGTAAAAAAGAAGTTGAATGTATAGAATTAAACTGCCCCCCGGAAAAAAAAGACACCGCCCGCCACACACTGGGTCTGATATCTGCCAATTAGGGGACTCACAAACAGCTTGACAACAACCGAACTTTGAATCTTATCGAGAGCGAACGACTCGATCGTAACGCTCATCCTATACCCCCTTCCACTCCTTGCGTGGCGGCCGCATATGCCGCGATTCAGAATAAAGGCTGGCTCCTCAACGTAATGCCTCTCCTCCACCATACACTCGCCACGACTATCCACACCAACATCCACAGCACGGTCCAGACTTGAATCTCGCGCGATCGGCTCTTCCGCCAGGTTATCTCAACACTTCCCCTGAAATACTACAAAGCCAGTTGGCTAAAGAGGTGGCTTCTCCATCTGCTTCGACTGTCCCGCCTTCCCCGACTTCCTCTACGTCCCACACCCCACTCAGCAGCGATGGCCCTCCATCAGCACTGCACCCGCGGGTCGCTGTCATACTTGGGGTAGACCGCAGGTGGTATATTCCCTTGCTGGTATGTCGGGCTCTGAGCACACTTCCTGCTGCCTGGTGGGGTTTGCGATGCGCCTTTACTTTCCTCGCCGAGTTGCTGCATATAAGGCCGGGTATGGGACGAGAGGGGTGGGCGGCGGCGATTGTTGGTAGTGTTGGACAGGAATGGGACGTTGAGAGGAGGTTCCGTGTGACGGAGGTGGCATTGGCTATTATGTGGGTATGTGGTACTCCTATTCTTGATATGTACAGGTGTATATCTTTTTTGGATATACTACTTGCTGGTGTCCTATTGCGTACTTTAATACTGACTACGTTGACAGTGCTGTGCATCTGCATATCTTTCCTATTTCTTTGCTGATTGCATGATGTCTCGATGGTCGGTTTTATATTCCCTTGAACGTCTCACCATCGTCCCTAATGCTAATCCATATACTCAGGCTTCTAAATTACACTCCACCAGCTGTTGTGATCCGACTGCTAACAACCAACGGCCTGATTGCATATATCACTTCTTGGGTCCTTTATCTATCTGGAGCATCCTCTGATCCCCGACTCCTTTTACCAGCATGGATCTCCATAACAACTGTACGTTACCTGTTACCTTGATTCCTAACCGTTGATCTATCTTACAACAGCCACTGACCCTTCAATTAGTCTTTAACCTTTGTTTACCACGCAACACAAAACCATACAACCATCAAACGCGAAACAGCGGCATCGCTACTAGTTGTTTCCGTTGCAAGCTTCCTAAGCATGTCCTCACTCCTCATGCAGTTGCATTTGACCCGTGAAAACGAACCAGAAGTGCCTGTCTTCGTCATCACCCGCAAGCTTTGGGACTGGGCTGTGGCTATCTTCCTGCGCATGCGAGTTGCTGATGATCGTATTCCTATTGGAGAGCTGTAGTTTGCTTACTTACCTACTGGTTGCTGGACTTTCTTTTCTTTTTCTGTTTCGCGATATCTTACAGAACTGATTTCCTCAGTCTTGACAAGCTGGACAAGCGTTCTTGGCTAGACAGAGTGGTTGATTTGTACATTTTTGGGATTTGATTTTGATTTTGATGTTGAAGACTCTTTGTCTTTGGGTCTTTGGACTTTGTCGCGCTTTATACCCCTGGCCTAGGGATGTTTCTTTTCAGATATGGCGATCTTTGATAGATCTATTCTATTATTTTTGTTTCTTGATTGATTCACAATGCATAATTCCATCCTCTTAAACTAATCAGACAGATTGAGATCAAGTTCTTATCTCGAATTTACTTTATGTTGCTGCATCAGCTGGGAAGATTAAATATACTGGACAACAGTTCAATTTCCTTGTTCCCAAGCAATGTACTGCATCCCCAAGAGAGGGGCAACAAAAAGAGTGAGAACAGCATAAAGATTAAATAGACGGTAGAGACCGAGAAAACGGTTCAGCAAAAGCACGCCCTTAGTTCAACCTGGATCTCCTCGATCAGCCAGATTGACAAATTGACCATGGGAATGCAATGGCAATGAGCAATACAGGCAAAGGCAGCCCCTTCTCAAAGGATAAAAGATGGAAAACACACGCAAAGTAATGAAAAGAAAAAAAAGTGTTGTCTGTCTATGCAGATAATGGGTATCTACCAACTCCTCGTTCCGTCATAATCCCGTCCTTAGAATAGCGGTCGAACCACCCCGCTCTCCCTGCCAATCATGCGGGAACGATAGGCAGGAGGCACACAGGTGTAGCGGGTCATTTCGACGAAGGGCCCAGGTCTAACACGCCAGGCACAAAGTGGTGGTGGGAGAAAGCAAGACATTCGATCGATGTGAAGGCCAGTATTGTATACGGCCGGCGGATGAGGGATGCTTCCTATCCCACCGCTCACAGGGCAACATAAACCGGGAAGAGGGGACTGGAACAAGGCATGATGTTGGTGATGGGATTAGAACCCGTGGACCTAGAATATAACAGATTAGAACATGGTAATGGTGATGGAGAGCGGGGCAGCGACATACCTTGATGGTCTTGGCATCAAGCTCGAGTCCCTCCTTCTTGTCAGTCAAGAACTCCTGGACATCCTTTCTCTGATCTCCCTGCAGCTGAATCACCTCGCCCATCTCAGTGTCAGAGACGATGGTGCCATTGCAAGCTAAGAGATAGTTAGAATTTGGGCCAGACACACATGCAAAGGTTACATGACATACCGAATTTCTTCTTGATGACCTTAAGAATCTTCTTCTGGTCGAACTTCTTGGGAAGACCCTGAACAGTGGTCAGAGTCTTGCGACCATTGCGTTCTGTTGTGAAACAAGCCGTTAGCATGTACCCCCCTTTTAGCGCCGGCGAGTTGCAAGAGTAGCCATGGGCGGTGAGAACAGGAGAGTGAACGTACGCTGAATCCGTATGTGGATGTAGTTCTGAGACTGTTTAGTCTCGCCGGTATCTTCGTCGGCTTCGGCGAAGGGGTCTATAAGATGTACATGTCAGCCTCAGTCCAGTACCAAATTGCTACCCCGCCGCCGTGAGACTCGGTGGAACAGAGGTGGGGAGAGTTGAAATCTGCAGCGTTGACACTACACATGACGAGAGAGGTATGTCTCATTCCCATACGTAGTAATCACAACTGTGGATATGCGTGGGTGTGGGGGGGAGAAGTCCGATACGCGCCCAGGAGGGGGAAGTGGCGAACTTACCGAAGGTCTTGAGGTTTTCGATGGACATAAACTCGGCCTTTTCGTAGTAAACGGCGTTTAAAATGGGTATTGATGAAGTGAGCGAAGGGCGAGATTCAATATCTCTGTAAAAGATCGGAGCGTGTGTGGTTCGGGGTGAGGAAATGCTGTGGTAGAAGAATGGGAGAGAGGAAGTGGCAGAGCCTTTTGAGGCAAGAGTCACGTTGTGGGGGAAGGCGGTGTGTGACTAAGCGATACTCATCCAAAACAGCCATGAACATTGCGATAATGTGCAAAGAACTACAAGAAAGTAGGTGGATATCATATACAATTTTAATTCAAGCTAGCAAATAATCACAATTATGGTGGCAAGCAGACTTGCTCATTTTGGATCACAAGGGCAGAACTCGGTTTGAATATTGGTACATCGTGACAAGAATAGCTAAAGGTGGAGATCTCTCAATCCAGACTCAGAATCTGATGACCCGCGAACAATTAATCCATCGTAGTTCAGATGATGAGGCTGTGGAGATTATGATGTGTATGTAGGAAGATATTAAGGAGATTCGGGCGTTCAAGAGGCCAGCGGGGTCGGTGCGGCGGCGCCGGTGGTACCCCCAGGAGCTTGCGGAGGCAAGAAGAGAGGGAAGTAGGTCTGCAATGGGTTGTTAAGCTGGGTGGATCGGAATCTTGTAGGTTCGAGATACATACGACAACCAATGCCATCACTATACCACGCCATGATATTAGTCCTGCAAAGCAAAAGAGGGGTACGGAGAGTAACGAACAGGACATGAGAACCGACATGTAGGCCGGTGTAGAAGCAGTCTTCTTCTGTTCTGGGGATTCACCCAACCAGGACTGAAGTGAGAAGACGAAGGATACCCTGTTTCCGAGTCAGATAATCTGGTCAAAGTATCGACTGCTCGCATTGCTCCTACCATCCAATCATGCTGTGTCGCGACTCTCGTCAATAATGTCCATAGCTTGTGTAAGATGGGCGACTCACCGGTTCCGAGTAAACATCTAAGAGATCAATGTCAGGGCCAAGTCATCGCGAGGTCAGATGTTGGGGTAACGACTTACGGCCGCCATGGGCATAGTGCTCGACATTGTGCCTGTTGTATAGCTCAATCAGCCTTCATAATCCTCGCACTGAAGTATGTCATTGCTGAAACGAAGGTGTGGGCGTACTGGAGATATCGGCATCGCTGCTGCTCTTGGGCGGATCGACATAGGGGATCGCTTTTCAACGTTAGCTTTGACGAGTCAAGACTTGAAGCAATTACTGCTCCACTCACCCAGATCAGCCCTGCGCATATCTTTCTTTGACGACATTGTGTTGAGATATGATATTAAGGTGATGGGTTGAGGTAACCAGAAGGATCGAACTTGCCAACCCCCCGTGCCAAGGCGGTGCCAGTCTGGGCTAGACCGAGAACACCCCCGGATTGAATATCTCCGATAGAGGATCATAGATACACACCTCTTTTTCTTTTTTTCTTTTTTCTTTGGACTTTGAATTCTTTTATGCATCTCTATCTTCCATATCTTTTATTTGTATCTCCCAAATAGACCATTATTGATTAAGTCCCCAAGTTGAGAACTAGGGATCAGAATACCCAAGTTTGAGCACAACATTGAAATAGATCAACTCTGACAACTCACCGCTATAATATGTACGATGTACAACATACGATCCAGATCGAAATAAAGCCATTCGGATCTTGGCAAAGAATGTAATAGTAAGACAATACGAGTAAAACCCACGGACATCATACAGGGTTTTTGTAATAATCTAGAGGTGCTGCAAGTCAGTGTGATAGCTGTGCGTCGATTACCTCCTACATATCTGTACGGAGCACATAACATATAGTACGGAGCACAGCGGACTCCGTAGACTCCAACCTACTTGAATCCCCCCTTGCAGTTAGCATATTCCAATCCTCACTGTAATTTCATGGAATCTTGGATGGACATGCAGGTGGACATTGATCGGCACCCCAGACGGCATTTGCCATTGAGCCCCGAGTCAAACATGCCACGGGTCCAGAAGTCAAATTAGAAATTGGAAATGCAAACACCCGATGGACCCGATACGTGCTTTGCGGAATGTGGACTCATCAAACTCCGGCGATAAGCCATTTGGGCAGCTTCGGGGATTATGCCGAGAGAGAATGGGAACGGCCCGTTGCGCTCTTGGACCACTAGACTGTGTAACAGGTGATGGGTACATAGTCTTGGATTGGATTGGGAAATTCCCAAGTACTCCAAATTGGGAACAAAGAATAATTCCGCGCGGCTAAGATCTCTTGCCGAGGAGGCGTATCATTAGATAGGGAGCATTTCCGGGAGCCGACGGGTTAAGAGGAGCTGAGAAGATATAGGAGCTGTAAATTTAGGGGAATTGCTACAGACACGGCACGTTTTGCTAGTAGCACGGCACATTAGGTAATATTCCCTTTACATAATCAATTTTGACCGAGATCGTTACCATACATTACCACAGCAACTACATTACTTACTACTGTAGCAACTACATTCTATCTACTTCTGCTATAAGAACCACTCTATCTTCTCATTGATCTTACTTCATCCAATTGATCTTACTTCATCCAATTGATCTTACTTCATCCAATTGATACTTGATTTCACCTAATCATGGAGCCACCAATTGAGCAAGTCTTTGAGACTAGAGAGCAACTCCTTACTTCGATACGACAGCATGCCCTATCTCATGGTTATGCTATCACTATCATCAACTCCGCTAAGGAGAGGAATATTTGTCTTGGTTGTGATAGAGGCGGTATATACCATGATCATATTGATGCCCCAGAAGGGGCAAAACGCCGGAAGACAAGTACTAGACGGATGAACTGCCCATTCCGCCTTTATGCAAAGAAGCTTGTTGATACTAATCAATGGGAAATCCAGGTAAGAAATCCTAATCATAATCATGCAGCTACTAATAATATGATAGGGCATCCTATGGCAAGGCGTCCACAGCTTACTAAAGATCAAAATCAAACTATTGAACATCTATCAGATATTGGATCTCGACCGCAGCATATTATAAGTCTATTAAGAAAGGATCAACCTGATATCTTAATAAGACCAAAAGATATTTATAATATAAGAGGTAGTATAAGACAGAAAAAGCTTAGGAATCACTTACCTCTTGAACTTCTTCAACAGATATTAATTCAGAATCAATGGAAATATGCATTTAAACAAGATATAGAAGGTCATGTTCAATTTTTTATGTTCGCTCACCCTGAATCAATTAAGTATGCTAATCAATATAATAGGGTCTTTTTATTAGACTGTACTTACAAGACGAATCGGTATAAGATGCCTCTTTTACATATTATTAGTCTCTCGCCATCGAATTCATCCTATAGTATTGCTTTCTGCTTTATGCAAAATGAGCAGGAAGAAAGCTATAAGTGGACTTTACAGACTTTTTTTTCATGGCTTGACCCCTTACCCTTTTCTCCAGTTCTTTGCACTGACAGAGATCTTGCTTTATTAGGTGCAATTAAATCTATCTGTCCTAGAAGCCCACATCTACTATGCATTTGGCATATTAATAAGAATGTGCTGGCAAAGACAAAGCAATATTTCTCTTCAAATGAGGAATTTGAGGCTTTTATCAAGTCATGGAAAGAGCTAATTAATTCATCAAATATTGATGAATATAATGCTCAATTAGCTAAGTTCACAACGCAGTTTAATCAAATTGCCCCTAATGCTCTTAGATATATTCAAAGTACTTGGCTAACCTATAAAGAGATGTTTATTAGGGCTTGGGTAGGGCAATATCTTCATCTTGGTAACTGGGCTACATCAAGAGTGGAGGGGTCTCACGCTTTTTTAAAAAAGTATATAGGGGGATCTTCAGGTGATATGCTTCATGTTTTTGAGAGAATTAATAATGCTTTACAGGCTCAGTATCAGCGACTTGAATCTGATCTTGCAGAAGATAAGATTAAGAGACTAAATTTCTGCTCCCACTTTCTCTATTCGAATATTATAAAGAGAACATCACGATATTCAATATCTTTGATCTCTAATCAAGCTGCTATAGCTAAGAGAGCTACCCCCGAAGCACCTTTATCAAACTGCACTAATATATTCACTAGGACAATGGGCCTTCCGTGTGCCCACCGAATCGCTAGTTTATTAACAAAACATCAACCAATCCCACTAAGCGATATCCATCAATTTTGGAGGATTGGCCTTAGTAATGAGTCATCTATGTATCTGCCAATACTAGATCCTCTATTACCACCACCAACTCGCAGATCAGCTCAAGAGAACATATCAGATCAAAACATCAAAACATCAAACCAAAAGGTCACTAAGAAGAAAGCACCCTCGAAGTGCTCAAATTGTGGAGAAATTGGCCATACAATCCGCTCCTGCAGAGTGTGAAAAGCATGTAAATAAGATGAAAAGCACAATAAGATTGACTAGAGAGAATTGATTCATGGTCGGGTTCTTATAGTAATGAAGCAGTAGTAGATAGAATGTAGTTGCTACAGTAGTAAGTAATGTAGTTGCTGTGGTAATGTATGGTAACGATCTCGGTCAAAATTGATTATGTAAAGGGAATATTACCTAATGTGCCGTGCTACTAGCAAAACGTGCCGTGTCTGTAGCAATTCCCTAAATTTAGACTGATATTATGTAAAGTGTCGGAGTTGCCCAGGTGAAAAGAGGCAAATAAACCCGGGATATTGCGAGATTGTGATATTCCAAGAGATCTGGTATTGTCAGGCCATTACTCCGTAGATTACCAAATCATATGATAAAAAGTGCCCGTGTGAAGTCGATCATTGAACTTTCTGGGACTACACCTGGGCATTATTATTCTCTTATTCTCTTATTCTGTTATTCTTTTATTCTGCTATTGTCTTATTGTCTTATAGAGTATTCAAGGTTGTACTTACTTTGTGTAACGCCATTCCATCTCATCTCATTTAATTCAGGTGTTTTCCCCGAATACTCAAAACACCCCCAGACAACCAGACACCCAGATACCCAGATACCCGAGCTGGCCGTTCCCCGATTCCCCATCAGCTCACCCTACCAACCCGCCAACTTCCACTTAATTCCGCGCCTTCACCTTCATATTTCAAATATTGACTCGAATTCCTCGAAATTACACGTCGCCTGGATGACCCGAATACTCCATCCTTTGGATACATCATGAGCCTAAGATGATCCCCCATTCCTCTGCCGGCGGCCAATCGTGGGGCCACCCTCTGCGGACCTTCAATGGCGGTCCCGGACGGATTGATAATGCGCAGATGTTGGGACAATATGACCAGCCCGATAGGTCAGCATCACTACCCCAGCCGCCAATTCGACAACCCGTCGTCGTTGACCTGACCGCAGGCGGTCCGGAGTCGCAAGATAGAGAACCGCCCCCCAAACGACCCAGATTGGATGTGCCGAGTGCATCCCATACATCGGATACTGGCGCGGCGGGCGGAGAAACGAGGAGTACACCCGGAAGTGCAATTTCGCGACCTGCCGTCTCATGGCGTGGCCGTCCAGCTTGGTCCTTCCAGGCTATCGTGTCGGAAACCCCGAGCAATGAGAATCGGGGCGATGGCGCTGCCGGATCTAAGCCCCCATCTCCGCCTCCGTTGCCTGCCCAACCTTGGATGAACAATTTCGTGGCCGAACCGGAGGGAAGCAGTGTCGTGAAGTCGAGGGAAAGCTCCCCAGTCGGGGCCGTACAAACGACCCCGTATCGCATTGAGATCCCTTCTGTCGCTCCGCTCTACCAAAGTCAAAGTAAGTGAACACACCGGATTTCTGCATTGTAGCTATCGAGACTAATCGCTAATCACCCGTTTCAGAACCCGCCGATTTCGCCCCATGGACCGGAAACCACCCGGAAGACGTCCTGAATGAGCAAACCGCGAAACAAGGATATTATGATCGCACACAGGTCTCCCAGAATGAATCGAATACCGCACGTCCTGCATTATATGCGCAGCTCAAGAATCGCACAGGGTTGCAAATGCTTTCATCCGTCTTCGCTGCGGCGTTGGAGAAACGACAAAGTCACAACACCATTCACGCTCCGTCAACCTTCAAACCGCCACCTCGAGTTACGCTCACCGACAACAAGCGCGAGGCGTGGCTTCGAGATCTCGCCAACCCGTCTGTTCCGCTGCGAAGGTTGAGCCGAACCATTCCCCACGGTATTCGCGGCAAGATCCTCCTGGACCAGTGCCTTGGTAAATGGATTCCGATCGCACGTGCTGTCTGGTTGGCGAAATGTGTGGGCGCGAATGAAATCCGTGCGTTCAAGCGAAAAGGCA